GCCATTGGACTCGATTGAATTCAACCTTCTTGAACGATCGGGGTCGCGATCGATTCAACCTTGAACGATCGGCGCGGTGTCGAAAACTTTTGCGCGCGCCGACGCCGCGCGAACCTACCGTATCGTCATCATCACCGCCACCATCGCCATTATCATCATCGTTGCCGCCTTCGTCGACGTCATAACGATACCGCGCCCCCCGAGTCACCGACCCGCACTGAAGCGCCCGCGCGCCATCGCGGTCTCTGAGACGCGCCGGAAATTTCCCATTGGTAAGCGCCATCGCGGCTGCGTCGGTCGTGCCATCAAGCAAGTTGGTCGCTCTGCGCGCGAGCTCGCGCGCGCGCTAGCGCAACAGCACAAATGCGCCAGCTGTTGCCAAGGAGTCACTTCAATCGCTGCCGCATGGGTTGTGTAAAACAGGTCGCGGATGGGAGGGTGGGATGATTTCGCGAGCAGATGAATTGACGACTTGAAGTTCTGCAAGGTGGATTCTACTGTCAGAAGAATAGACTCTACCACCCTCTCCCGTCCGGACTTATCAACACCCCCTGCGACATTGCAAATTACATTTGCTTCTGCCTCGCCGTTCGTCTTCCATGCGATTCAAGCCCATCCAAGGCAAGCCGGGTGTCCCCCCCTTGGTCTCGGTCAAACAACCTCATGCGCGCAAATCCGTTCATCACAAAAAAGTCAGATTGCAGCTATCTGTGCGTAAACAAGGCCTAAAAAAACACGCGCGCACGTGTCGCACGCACGCGCACGTGTCGAACTCTCACTAAAGATTTGACTGCTGCAAATATTGCATTATTTACCCCGAAATACCCGTAGGTTGCGCAGCACAAATACTGTAGATTTCTTCCCCACGCACAGATGCTGAAATCCGACGAAAACCATGAGAATTTCGCCCAAAAACAGCAATATCGTTTTACTCGGCGGCTCACCCGCGTTGATCTAGCATGCGCCCAGCGCACGAATCCGCATCACATGACACCACGGCGGCCACACGCGCGCGCCTCCACGCAAGCGTGGCGAAACCCGTCCAAAACCATTGGTTTCCGACGCGTCATACGTTAGAATTCTTTAAAAGAGTATGAATATATACATGTGTTTCAACCGAAAGTGTACCAGGGTTCTTCCGTAGCAATTTTGGCTCAAGGCCTCTGCAGGTGCGCGCCCCGTCCCCCTTCGCGCGGCAGAACGCCCGATGGCGCTCCCCGCCCGGGTCTCCGCGGCCCTGGCGCTCGTCCTGGCGGCGGCCGGGGCAGCGCCCCCCGAGGGCTGCGCCGCGGCGGCCGAGGAGAGCGACGGGGTGGGGCTGCTGCAGGCGGCGGGCCGCAGCGCGCAGGTGCGGAGCCGCTCCGACACGCCGAGCGGGGGGTGGGTTCCCCGGACTGCGAGGTGCGGCATCGTGGACGTGAAGTGCGGGACGGGCTGCTGCTCGGTGACCAGCACGTGCACCTCGGACCAGAAGTGCAAGCCGCTGTTCGGCGACGTCGTGGAGCCCACCCCAGGCAAGATCGGGTGCCCGATCGCCTTCGCCGACTTCGGCGACGACGGCTGCTGCCCTGTAACCACGTTCGTGGGCCCGCCAGAGACGTGCGTGGAGCCGACGTGCGAGAACATCCTGCAATACAACTGCAACATCACGTCGGGCGGTTCGCCGACCTGCACGGAGGGCGGTGAGTGGCCCGCGGGCGCGTCGACTGGCATAACGATCAGTGGCAAGACAGTGACGCCGACTGTCTCACAGACTTGCACGCTCGACGGGAAGAGCTGCTACAAGTACTCGGTGAACGCTGGAGGTATCAAGATATCGGACGGCATTTCCAGTCCAGATTGTAATTATTGATTGGGGGCGATGATCATGCAGTCCCTTTTTGTTTCGAAGCCCCCGAGGCACTGAGTCAGCCGCTGGTGCCAGAGCGCGCGTCCCTTGGGATTTCTCTCTCTCTCTCTCTTTCTCCCTCCTGCCTTCATGACTTACCTGATTCACACCTCCGCTCCTCCCCTTGCTCCCGCACGGGCGCCGCGCTCCGGCACGGGTGGGCTGGCGCCGCCGGCCGCGACTTTGACGGCGCTCCAGGCGCGAGAGGCGAGCAGAAAAAAACAAAAAACAAAAAAAAAAAAACGAAAGTGTACCAGGGTTCTTGGGTATCTGCGCGCGCGTATTTCCTCACCATCGCCCTCATCAGCGCCGCCGCCTCACGTCATCCTCATCGACTCTCGCCGCACTTACCGCCATCATCACACAAGCACTTTCGCCATCGATGCATGGATCTCATCATCATCATCATCATCATCATCATCATCATCATCATCATCATCATCATCATCATCATCATCATCATCATCATCATCGACGCTGTTAGCATCGGCGCCGTCATTGGGTTTGCCGTCGTCATAGTCATCATCGCCACCACCACAGCTACGATCATCGTCGTTGCCGCCGTTGTCGACGTCATCTTGATACCGCGCCCGCCCGAGCCACCGACCCGCAGTGAAATACCCGCGCGCCAGCGCGGTCTTTTGACACGCGCTAGAGCGCTCCCATCGGTAAACGCCATCGCCGCCGCATAGGATTTGCAAACAAAACTGGATGTGGGTGTGCGGTAATTGCGCGAGCAGTGCAGTTGCCAACGCATGAGTTGACAAAAATGAAAGGCCCCACACATGTTACCCATACGACCACCCTTCGGGTGACAAGGAGATTGTGGCGGGGGGGGAGAGGGGGGGACCAACATTTGCCTCAATCGATCTCACTATCGATCTCATTCAACGGGACACCACGGGACACCACAGGACACTTGTCGATCTCATTATCGACACCGCGGGACACCTCTCGATCTCACTGTCGGTCTCACGATCGATCTCATTATCGATCTCACTCAACGGGACACCATAGGACACCACAGGGCACCTCGGGACAAAACATCGATCTCACTATCGATCTCACTATCGCTGTCACGATCGATCTCACTCAACGGGACGCCACGGGACACCACGGGACACTTGTCGATCTCATTATCGATCTAATTATCGATCTCACCACGGGACACCGCCGGACACCTCTCGATCTCATTTTCGATCTCATATCGATCTCATTATCGATCTCACTCAACGGGACACCACGAGACACCTGCCGGTCTCACTATCGATCCCATTATCGATCTCACTTTTGGGGACATTTCGGGACACCTCGGGGCACCACATCGATCTCACTATCGATCTCACTATCGATTTCACTCAACGGGACACCACGGGACACCTGTCGATCTCACTATTGATCTCATGTTTTGGGACACCACGGGACACCTCAGGGCACCACATCGATCTCATTATCGATCTCACTATCGATTTCACTATCGATCTCACTATCGATCTCACTCAACGGGACGCCACGGGACACCACGGGACACCGCGGGACACCGCGAGCCACCGCCGGACGGGCGGGAGGGGGAGAGTCATCTGTCTTGATTTCGCCCTAGCAACGGCGGACACCACGGCACACCACGGGACACCGCGGGACACCGCGAGCCACCGCTGGACGGGCGGGAGGGGGAGAATCATTTGACACCTCGCCCTAGCAACGGCGGGTTCATTCCTCTCGCGCCCCCACGCAGCTTCTCCTCGCCCGCACGCACGACACGAACGAAACAAAACGATTTCCCGATTGGGGGTCTCCGTTCAATTGCGATCTCACCCCCAACCTCCGATATGTCTTCGGATTGTTTCGAATATACTACCCCATTGATTCAGCCGCACATGTTGCACCCGAGACTGCAGATCGAGAGCTCCAGAAGTCATCGAGGTCCACGTTGGCAAACATCACGTGGCCGATTGCCTGCGGAATGCATGTCAGCACAAATGTGCCCGCACACCCGCACATGCATAATTTGAGTTCGGAGCATGCGCAATTTTGTTGGGCGTAGGGTTGCGGAGGACTGTTTGTTGTCAGTCATTGCATGCAGCCCGCGTGTCCGAGACCGCACGCACACCATGCGAGGAAGCCCGATGTCAGCCAGGCCCGAACTAACGACGTCGGTTTGATAGCAGCGATCTGACGCATAGCAAAGGGACAGAGTGTTTGCCTCGGGAAGCTCCAGGCGCAACCGCCGATAAGTTGGTGCCCCCCCCTCATCCACCTCGCCTGCCCCCCCCCCCACACACACCCATCAACCCCTCCGCCCCTTCCGTCGTCCCGCCGCCCTGGCTGATGAACGGGGATCGGGAGGAAGAGAAGCCCCGCGTGGCAGGCGAAAGGAGGTGGACGCAAGGCGGGGGGGGGGGGGAAATGGGGGGGGGGGGAATGGGAGGGGCGAAGCAGGCAGGAGAGGGAGGGAGAACACGGGAGAAAGGAGGGGAGTGAAAGGGGGGGGGAGGGTGGGAGCACCCAGCAGGATTGTTGAGAGAAAGATTGTGGGCCCCTTCCCGAGCGCGCCCTGTTGTTGCCCTCCGCGCGGCGGCGCGGCGAGGCGCGGGGTCAGGGGGCCCAGAGCGCATTCGTGGGAGACGAGAAACAAGAAGGGAGAAGGAAGGGTCAGGGGCAACGATAGGGGGGGGATAGGCACAGGGGGTACGCATCGACTCCCAATCGCCCATTGATCGCCGATAAATTTCGAATAGCCCCACCCCACCCAGGAACGTGCGGATTCGCTATCGCGGGCCCATCGCTGATCTATCGGCGATGTATCGCCAATTCCAGGTCGATGTCTCCCCCCCCTATGCTAGTCCCCCAGATCGTTGCTTCTCAGGGAGGGGGAAAGGGGTTTTTGATCCGCGCCTGGTTCGGAGCTATCTCAAAGACTGGGGCGCTAGAGCTGGCTGAGCGACATTAGCTCATCAAGCATTTTGACCTCGCCTTTGGCGGGGTCGGGATGCCTAAAAAGGAGACCCAGTGGGGAATGCGTCGATCCTGGGAGAGAGGGGAGGGGGAGGGGGAGGGGGAGGGGGATGCCCCCGCGTTCCTGTGCGTCCACATCTCGCGTCCGTCCCAGCAGGACTCAGATGAGCAGGCTCTTGGAGAACCCCGGCGAGCTGGAGGCGTTGCGCGTACTTTTCCGCACGCCGCCTCCGCCATCCCCCAGATCGCCCCCCACCCCGCCCTTTCAACTGGCCCTCCCATCTCCCACCCTTGCCCCTGCCTCTCGCCTACCCGCTCCCCTCTCTTTTCTCCCATCTCCCACCCCGTCCTCCAGGCCCCCCTCCTTGCCCTCTACCTGCCCTTCTCCCTTCCCGTCGCTTCTCACCTTTCCCAGTCCTCTGCCCCTTCTCCACTCGCACTCCGTATCCTCATCCGCGTCACCCTTCCTTCTCCGTCGCCCGTTCCCCCGCCCCCTCCCTTTTTCTTCTCTTATCATTATTATTTGTCTTATTCTTCTTCAGTTGCTTGTCCTCTCTTCTCTCTTCACTCGCATCTTCACTCTTCAATCTCGCTCTGAGCAAAGCGAATCTTCTCCACTCTTACCATGGCACCGCAGGGGGGCGGAAAATCTACTACTCTACCCGACTCGCAGTGGCACCGGACGGTGGAGGGGAATACAATTCTACCCTTACTCGTCACGTGGCAACGTGGCAGGGGCCGAAACAGGGCAATGCCACAATTCGTCACGTGGCAACGCAGGGGGCGGACAAAAACGAGTCTACGCGATTCGTCTCATGTCGCCGCAGGGGGCGGGAAACACTATTCTATTCTATTCGTCCACTCGTCACGTGTCAACCAATGGAGCGGAAACAAAGAGTATTTTGCAAGCGCAGGGCGGGGGGAGGGGATATCATTATAATCTGACTCGTCATATGGCAACACGGAGGGTACGGAACAAAGTACCATTCTATTCTACTCGCCAGACGGCATCGCGAGGGGGCGGAAAACATACGATTGCATTCCATTCGTCACATGGAACACACAAGGGGGTCGGAACGCAAGAATCAATTCAATTCGTCGCCTGGTAGCGTTGGGGGCCGACACACGTATTACGAGCTAGTCGTTGAATGACAACGCAGAAGGGGGAGCCGGAATCTATGTTATTCCGTTTCTGCTTTGCACATGCCATCACAGAGAGGCGCACGACGTATTTTGAATGTTCGTTCGTCACGTGTCAATGCGGGCAAGCGCACGGGAAGCGCAAACCTCGCATTCGAAATGGAAGCAGTTGAGTTGAAATCAATAGCAACGGTATGTGGGAGAGTTTGCAAGGGCACGTGGCCACAAGAAAGGTAGTTGAGGCTGTCGACATCCAATGGGAGCAAGAGTAGGAGGAGTTGGAACAGGAGGAGGACGAAGAGGACAACGAGGAGCCGGTAGAAGGGGGATCTGCAGGAAGTGAACCAAGCGTGGCTTGGCGGAGACAAGGGTCTGCGGTCAGATTATGCGGATAGTTGCACCAAGGCTGGCGCAGAGACTAGGAAATCCCGCGAGATCGGTTCCACTCAATTTCCTCCCTACTCATTCGTTCATGATTCCATCCTCCTCTTGCTCCTCAACCCCTGATCCCTTTTCCTATCGTCGGTCCCCCTTATACATCATCTGTTTTTGTTTTCTCTCTTTCTCTCTCTCTCTCACTCTCTCTCTCTCTCTCTCGCTCTCTATCCCTCCCATCGGATTCCCTCGTCCCTCCTCGGTGACAGTTCTCTTTGCCAAGTCTTACAAAATGGTTCGCGAAGCAACCTCCCTGGGAGGCGCTCCACGCACAGTTGCCAGCCTGGTACTGCTCGTGGATGCACGGCCTCCAGCAGGAGCTGGCGCAGAAGCTCTCGAGGTGACCTCTCACAGTGTGCGCGCTGGCTTCCTTTCGGCGAAAAAGAGGCAGGCTGATTTTCCCACCCGCTCCCACTCTTCCTCGTCATACTAATCATCATCATCAGCATCAGCATCAGCATCAGCATCAGCATCATCAGCATCATCATCATCATCATCATCATCATCATCATCATGTGGACCCATGGCCCACTTTGCTCTGGCCAGCGGCTCCTGGCGAGGCGGTGCGATCGTAAGCATCAGCATCAGCATCATCATCGTCATCGTCATCATCATCGTCACGTCATCCTCGTCGCCGTCGCCGTCGTCGTCATCAGCAGCAGGAGCAGCATCATCATCATCATCATCAGCATCAGCATCAGCATCAGCATCATCATCGTCGATTGGGGAGTCCCCTCCAAGTTGCGAGTTCGGCCCCGGCATGCGTTCCCGCGGGCGTTCGAGTAGGAAGAATTGGTAGAGTGTCTTGAACACGCGGAGGCGATGGTCATCTTCACTTGTTTTCAGACATCGCCCAATCGCATGTAGATGCAATTGGATTGAACCAGTATCATCCGCTTCGTCGTCATCGTCCAGCTCTTGAAACAACAGTTGCAGTTGCACTGCAGGGTGGTGCGAGCACTGGAAGGCAAGCGGGGGAACATGTAAACCAGACGCACGAATGTGGATGACACAGGAGTAGATCTGGAAGGCGGGATGGCCACAGAACGAGCGGGTCAGTCAAGTCTCAAATCAAATTGCCACGCTTGATGATGACATCCACGATCTGTCGGAATTGGAGTGCCTGAGCGAGCGGGCTCGGCATGCACTAGGAACGCCCCCGCGTTTTCGCCGTTTGGGTTTTGTTTAGTTGTTTCCGTCCCTCCTCGTCGTGTTCTTCCTCAAACGGCCATGTCGCGGAGCCAGAGCAGGGGCGGCCGAGGGTCGGTTGACGCGATTGTGGGAGGGCCGCCACCTGATTGCAGGAGCCCACATGTACGCAGCTACAGGGTTTCAGAGGACAGGTCGTCAAGTCGGCGTGCGACTACCTTCGGCTGGCCCGCTGATATAGGAGTTCACGAGAATCCTCTCCCTCCCTGCCTCCCTTCTCCCTGTCCATCCCTGCCCCCCCTCCTTTCTCCCTTCTCATTCACCGTTCCCCCCCCTCCCTCCCATTATATCCATCCTCCTTCCCTCCCTCTTCTTACCTCACTCCGTCTCCCCTCTCTCCCCCTCGCTCCCCCCTCCTCTTGGATGCTTATTGGGGCCTCTTGCGGGCCCCTTGGCGGGCTCATGGGGACCTCCTGGGGGCCTCGTGGGTGCCTCTGGGAGCCTCTTGGGGGCGGGCGTCAAGCGGCCTCTTACAGGCCTGGTGGCTGTCTCGGGGCAAGTTTGGGGGGGAGGGCTCCAACGGCAGTACGGGTTCCCTCGGAGGCTCGGGATGGCCTCTTGGGCGAGCCTTGGGTGCCTTTCGGTCCGTCTTGGACGCCCTTAGGACTGGAAAGCCGAGAATGCGAAAGTGATACAAGTAATGTCGACTTCGCAATGATTCGAGTTCGCCTAATTGCGCCAGCCCCCAGGGCGTCGAAGACGGCCCAAGAGGCACCCTTCAGAGCCCCAGGACGGCCCTCCGGGGCCATCCTACAACACGTGGAGAGATGTGGAGGATTTCCCACTACGCTCCTTGGGCCTCGTTGAATAGTCACGCCACGATCCCCCGATAGCGCGCGGGACGGCCCAGAATTTCCGCCAGTTGGAGGGCTCGGACCTTGCACAAAGCTCCACATCCAGAAGCCAAGGGGCATTCCGGACACGCCGATCAGTGCCTCGCAGCACGGAGGATCCCGTTGCGTTGCCGCGTTTCACGCATCCGTCACCACGTTGCGAGGGACGGGGGAAGGATCGACGGACCCCCCACCAGAGAGCGCGCGGAGTGCACATAAAATGCACGAACTTGGAGGCTACAGAGGACGCATGCTGCGCACGAGGGGCCCTCACTGCTGCTTCGCAGCCAGACAAAACTAAAGTGGTTGCAGGGGGGCATGCCAACGTGTATCGCTACACAGCTCAATGGCGAATCGGTGTCCCTCCTGCTGTATATCGTGCCAAGATCACGGCCGCGCGTCTGGAGCTCATGCTTGTTTGAGACGTATGGGCGCTATTGAATGAGATTGCCACCCTTCTTTACAGGGTTGCAGAAACAGGTACGAGGTAAGCCCAGGCAAGGGCGAAGCCCACTTCAAATTTCACGGCGACCCTCCTCACTCCTCCTCTTCTGTGTCCGTTTCCTCCTCCTCCGCCCCATTGCATGGTGGGTTCCCATCCGTGGCTGATAATGGCCCATGTGTTATGCGATGTTTGTGTTATGGTGGTTACACGAGTGGCCTCACCCACTGCGAGTGCGAAAGCCCGTCGCTTTCCCAACTAAGCACCACAAACGGGGATCAGAAAGGAGGGCAGTTCTCTTGTGAAGATGTCGTGTTGCAGCTCTGGGAAAGGGTTCACTGAAATGTGTGCGGCGTAATTGGTTGCGAATGAATTCGAAAAAGGCGCACTGGAAAACCCGAAAGCGTTGCCAGGATTGGCCCTCCAAGTTTTCCAATTATGGCCAGCCCCCTTGTTACAAGGTTACGGGCAATCGCGCTTACGTATCCAGTTATGTGATGTGTTTTTGCTGTACTTTCAGCCATGTCTTCTATGCTTGGCCATTTCAACCCTGTCAAGCTTCCCTGCGAAGTCGGCAGTTGACCAGGTTCGATATCTCGATGTGTGCCGTACAGATCGACCCCCGCTTCGTGTGCCGCACCGTGTCAGAATTGCCGGAGCGTTCCATACATATTGTGGAGTTGTTTTGCAAGTCGTCTTTCGGTTTTACTCGACGGTGGACAGTATTCAAAGAGGTGCTACGTAATGCGAAATAGTGCGAGTAACGTGATTCCAAAACCCAGCCGCAGCATCGAAGACGATTCCTTGTGCGCGAGTTGCCCGAAACCACTGGGCGGTTGCAGCCGTGCAGAGGCGCCACAGCGTGGGAACGCATCGAAAGCCACGCAGAGGTGGCATTGGCGCACACGGGGCCTGAGATACACGTTATATCGTTTGGTTCCGCATTTCGCCCCCGACTCTCTTCGTGCGTTTCCGCCCACGGTTATCCCCCTGCTGCCCCTCGTCTCCTTTTCTCTTCGTCCTCGTCCTCGAAAAATATGGGAGGGAGCCGTGATACCTCAAGAGGGGGGAGGATGGAGCCGGAGGAGGAAAAGGAGAAGGAGGAGAAGGAGGAATAACAGTGGAAAGAGTGGGGGAGGAGGGCAGAGGAGGATGAAGAAGATACCCATGAGGAGGAGGAGACGGAGGACAACGAGGAGGAGGAGGAGAACGAGAACGAGAACGAGGGGGAGAGGAGGGCGAGCAGAAAAGGCACAGGCCTTTTTCGGATGCGTTCCTGACTCTCTTCGGATGTGTATTGACAGTTTTGAGGGGCGTCTTGGCGGCCTCTTGGCGGTTTCGGGCACCTCTTGAAACGTCTTGTTTTGCCTCGGGGGGGGTCTCCTCGGGGTGTCTTGGGGGTCTCGTGGGGGCCTCTCGTTGGGCCATTTGGGGAGCCGTCTTGGGGCCCTTTTAGGGTTCTCTTGGGCTTTCTCGGAGCCATTTTGAAGCTTCGGCGGGCCGTCGAAAGCGAAAAAGGCGACAAAGCGACAAGCATGGATTGTCCTCAGGTGTTGGAAAACAAATGTTGTTTTCCGCTCGCTCGAGGGCGTTCGGAGGCCACTTGGAGCCACTTTGGGGCGGTAGTGGAGCACGTTGGAAGCCATATTGCCCTATGCGCTATTTGGAGCCATCTTGGACGTTCCACTCGGTCGCGGGGCACCCCGTTCAGGTCCAAGGGAAAGTGGGTATGGAGGGGTGCTAACCCTTCCCTGAAGGGGAAGAAGGGGGGTGAAATAATTGACCATAAACCAGATATGCACAGAAGGTTGGTGGGATGTTGCCAGCATTTTCGCTTGTTCGTTTCCAACCATCCTGTGGTGTTGGCTCTTCGTTTTGAATCAGCAGCACCCGCGTCCACTCTTCCTCCATTCGCACCCCTGTGTTCTTTCATCGTCGCCACCATCATCGTCAGCATCATCGTCATCAGCGTAATCATCCCGAACACGCTTCGTGGCCCCATACGGAGTTTCACCGAAGGCCCCATCCGGAGGATCTCGCATGGCTCCACCGCTCCCATTCCGTCACACACCATCACACTCCTCGTGGCCCCATATGGAACCCCACCGAATGCCCCAGTGCCGGGGTTCGCACGTCGCCGCCACACATACACACACACACACACACACTCTGCCGATTCACCCATCACACGCTTCGTGGAACTTTAGGGAGCTCCACCGAAGGCCCCAGTGGGAGGGGTCGCACGTCTCAGCCAAGCCCATGTGGCGCACCTCTCACACGTTTCGTGGCCCCACGGGAGCCCCACCAGGGGCCCCAGTGCGGAGGTCTCATGGCACAGCCGCGCCCATCCTGCCCACCCCTCACTCGTTTCGCGGCCCAAGATGGAGCTCCACCGAAGGCCGCAGTAGGAAGGTTCGCATGGCGCCGCCGCAATAAGAAGATGAAGAGGGCAGCCAGAAAAGCATCGCGAAAAGTAGCATGGCGCCGACGAGGACAACAAAAATAGCATTGATGACGACACAGAAATTCACGAATGAAGGAATGAGTGGGAATCGCGTCTGGCGACTGCAACAGCGCAAACTTAGCCGGAAGTGCCAGGCTGTCCCGAGAGTCCATTTCCCCACGAGTTCACCTGAAGGCTCTCCCCGTGATGAGACCCAGTTGATTCAAGAAGTGTCGAATTTCCTCCCGAGCCGACAGGCGAAAGCAGCAGCCGCAAGGCGAACGGGTGTGGCGATGGTGGCTGTCGTTGAGCGGGCATGCAGCCCAGGATCGATTGCCTCGGAGGCCTCTGTTGTTTTTAACCTAAGATCTTGCATTGTTTTGATATGACCTTTCGGTCGTGTAGCTGAACAGCCCT